AGTTCAACAGAGTGTGGATTCCAGATGCAGAACATGTGTGGAAATCAGCAGAGATAGTGAGAGATTTTTATTCTGGAGATAAAGTTCTGGAGTTGCTTCTTGAAGATGGAACAGTGAGTATGGAATCCCATGCAGCAGTGTGTTCACGATGTAACAACCACCACAGCTGTCCTGACTCTTTTGCACGACCTGTGTGTCCCTTTGACAGAAGCACCACCACCCTGTCGACCCGTCCACTCCATGCCTCCCTCCTCTCAGAAACCCAGACATCTTGGTGGGGGAGAATGACCTCACCGCTCTCAGTTACCTCCACGAACCTGCAGTTCTGCACAACCTCAAAGTGCGATTTGTGGAATCCAGAATCATCTACACCTACTGCGGTAACGCTGCAGGAAACCTTTGACTATATCTACGAGCACTGAGGTATTTGTGCTGTTGGCCTGACCTGTGTTGTTTCCTCATTTTCAGGTATTATACTGGTGGCAGTAAATCCCTACAAACAGCTCCCTATCTACGGAGATGCAATCATTCATGCCTACTCAGGCCAGAACATGGGAGACATGGACCCTCATATATTTGCTGTGGCAGAGGAGGCTTACAAACAGATGGCCAGGTAAATAAATAAAAAACAAAGTCACATAAAGTTTAATACACACTTCCCCAAGGTGAAGACGTTTTTAAAAAATGTAATTCAGGAAAATGTATCCAGGTGGCATAGGGCTTACAAGACACTACAAACATAACAAAAAACCTTAAACTCATCAAACATATATATAGAAATATATAGAAATACAAATCAAGACCTCCTGCAGACATTTCATATAAAAGAAAAGCCAGAGTCTAATGTTGTGATAAAATTGACAGTAAAAATAAAAAGTGCATTTCATGTTCAACCTTTCCCAGATCACACAGTTAACACTTTCATTTTAGTTCATTATTATTTTGCTGTTTGTTCCTCAGAAACCACAAGAACCAGTCTATTATCGTCAGCGGTGAGTCTGGAGCTGGTAAAACTGTGTCTGCTCGTTATGCTATGAGATATTTTGCCATTGTCAGCAAATCTGGCAGCAAAACTCGAGTTGAAGACAAAGTCCTTGCGTCTAATCCAGTAACAGAGGTAGGATTCCACTGTACCAGGAGCCACAAGGCAACAAACAGCTGTTATTCCCTCTGAACTTCCATGTATCAGCACTGTGACAACTAGCCTTCCATTTTTATGATCTCATTAAGATAAAATAATATTTTTTATGATAGTTTTTGAGGAGTGAAGAATCTAAATGGCTTGTTTCTGCCTCAGGCAATAGGAAATGCAAAGACCACCAGGAATGACAACAGCAGCCGATTTGGGAAATACACGGAGATCAGCTTTGACAGGAGGTACCGCATCATTGGAGCAAACATGAGGACCTACCTCCTGGAGAAATCCAGAGTTGTTTTTCAGGTAGAGTACGAGGCGAGGATGTTGTTTAGCGTTATTTAGCCCATATTTAATCCATATTAATGTTCTTTTCTTTTTTATTCAGGCCGACAACGAGCGGAATTATCACATATTTTACCAGATGTGCTCCTGTGCTCAGCTGCCAGAGTTCAAGAGCCTGAGACTGTGTGAGTGTTTACACTACATGTGTGAAATGGAGCTTTTACTGTTTTATTGCTGTGATGTTTATTGTGACCCACTTAAGACTCACAGTCAGACATGCATTTATTGTGTAATTTTTTTATCGTTAGTTTGTTTGATAAGGGTGGCACGGGTACAGTGGTTATTACTTGCAAGTCACGGCGAGAGGGTTTGAATCCCGTTTTTTTCTGGCCAAAGACATGCAGTTTTGGATTAGGTTGATTGGAGTCACTAAATTCACCTTAAAGGTGCAGTCTGTAAGATTTAGGTGAAAGGGATCTATTGGCAGATATTTAATAAAATAATCCTAGTGATGTTTTCTCTAATGTGTAATCATCTAAATTGTATTAATTGTTGTTTCATTACCCTAGAATGGGCCCTTTATATTTAAATACTTTATATTTACAAGGAGGGGGGGTCCTCTTTATGGAGGCCGCCATGTTTTTTTTACTGTCGTCCAAACTGGAAAAACTAAACACCTTTTGAGCTTTTATGACAATTAAAGGCTATCACAGGTTCTCTTTCATGTTTGGAAGGGGAGGGTGAGGTGAAGGGTAATCAGCTGCAACATGCAATTTCACCATTAGATGTCACTAAATTCTACACACTGAACCTTTAAGATTGAATGTGAGCGTGAATGGTCTCTGTACATTGGACCGGCGACACCTGGACAGGTCACCTCTCAACCCTCCGTGACCCTCAAAGTATAATCCGTATAAATAATGGCTCTGCTAAATGATGTATTCCTTTTACCCGCAGTGAGTGCAGATAACTTCCGTTACACGTGCATGGGTGGTGACATCACTATTGAAGGTGTAGATGACAAGAAAGACATGGAGGAGACTCGACGGACCTTCTCCCTGCTGGGTAAAAAGAGTGTCCAGCTGTCAAACTGTAAATTACTTTTTATCTGACGTTTATTTTAGCGTAACCTTCCTCTCTCTGCTTCTCCAGGTTTAAAGGAAGACTTTCAGTCAGACGTGTTCAAAGTGTTGGCAGCCATTCTGCATTTGGGGAACCTGGAGATCAGGGACTCAGGAAAGGACAAATCGTCAGTTAGTGTGAGTCACGACTCTCTGGTCATCAAATAACTTTATTTTTCTGATTAGAACTTCAAACATTAACCAGGTTAAATAAAGAACTGCATTGTTGTGTGTTCCAGCTCAGTGATCCACACCTGGCAGTGTTCTGTGAGTTACTGGGTGTAAGTGTGGAGGGGTTGGTGCGCTGGCTGTGCCATCGGAGGATCGTTCTGGTGGCTGAGACGGTGGTGAAACCAGTGCCCAAGAAGCGGGCAGTGAATGCCAGAGACGCCCTCGCCAAGCACATCTACGCACATCTTTTTGACTGTATAATTAACAGAATAAATACAGCACTGCAGGTCCCTGGAAAACCACATGCTTTTATAGGCGTTCTGGACATTTATGGGTAAAGAGGACATTGTTCTTCATATATTCAACTCTTGAATGCTTTTGTTTTTGACATGAACTTGACGTCTTTTGTCTGCAGCTTTGAAACATTTGACGTCAACAGCTTTGAACAGTTTTGCATCAACTATGCAAATGAAAAGCTTCAGCAGCAGTTTAACTTGGTATGCAACCATTAACCAGAAATCATTGCAAAAACATAGCGTTGTGTCTTTATCCGCTCAGAGGATCATTCTGCTGCTGCGTCTCTTATTTTCAGCACGTGTTCAAGCTGGAGCAGGAGGAGTACATGAAAGAGGACATCCCATGGACGCTGATTGATTTCTATGACAACCAGCTTGTCATTGACCTGATCGAAGCAAAGATGGGGATCCTTGACTTGCTTGATGAAGAATGTTTGGTCAGAGCATGATTCGGATTTACACGGTTAAAATGTTCCTTTTCCACTTGATTGCCTTTTATTAACGTCTGGCTGTATGTGTCTCCCTCCACAGTTTCCTCAGGGCACTGACCAAACCTGGCTGATGAAATTGCACAACTACCTGGACAACAATCCTCTGTTTGAGAAGCCCAGGTTATCAAAAGAGGCTTTTGTAATACAACACTTTGCAGACAAGGTAGAATCTGAGGAACCTTAAAGACACATTCTCTATAGAGCACAAAAAATACATTAATGTTATTAAGATTTAATGATTTTTGATTCCTAAAACTTTTTACAGGTGGAGTATCAGTGCAGAGGTTTTCTTGAAAAGAACAGAGACACTCTCTATGAAGAACTAGTGGATATAATGAGAGCCAGTAAGGTAAATCCAGACTCCTATTTTATATATATATATATGTTATATCTCAGTTTCCATGTGGCATTGTTTTTCTCACTTTCTAACATATTTTCCCTGTTTGCGTCTGTTATCAGTTTCCTTTTCTGGCCCATTTTTTCCAAGAGGAGGAGCAAAACACTGCCAACAGTAAAGGCATCAAAGTCAGGCCTGCCAGGCCTGGACTGAAACCAGCCAATAAACAGCTGAGAGCGTCTGTGGGAGATAAGGTGAGCATGTTTACTCTGTCTCTACTCACTGGAGATTGTTGCAGCTCCAATCCTGTATTTTCGTGTGTGTACAGGACACAATTGTCTTTTTCACTTGTTCCTTCTCATTCATTTAATGGTCAAATGTAGTTTTCCAGCTCCCTGTCCTTACTAATGGAGACACTGAACGCTACCACCCCACACTATGTGCGATGCATCAAGCCAAACGATGAAAAACTCCCATTTGAGTGAGTACTAACGGAACTAGAGTTGACACGATCCACTCTGTTCGATTTAATCATTTGCAAATGTTTGTACTTTTGGCTTAATTTAGCATTTGCTTGTTTTTTTGAGATACGACTCCAGGAGGGTCGTGCAGCAGCTGCGAGCCTGTGGCGTCCTTGAAACTATCCGTGTCAGTGCACAGAGCTATCCGTCCAGGTGACTTTCTGCTGCATGATTCCATATTAGCCAAATGACAATATTCACATGTTGTTATGTCTGTGGTGTGATACTTAACACACTCTTCTACTTGCAGATGGACATACATTGAGTTTTACAGCCGATACAGTATCCTAATGTCACACCAGGAGGCGGACCTCAGGGACAAGAAACAGACCTGCAAAAATGTGCTGCAGAGGTTGATTCAGGTTGACTCCCTCTTTAGATTCTGCCTTTAAATATATCGTCATGCATTACTGCTCTCTATATGTTTGTGTATCACTTTGATGTTACGGCTTGATCTCCAGGACCCCAACCAGTACAAGTTTGGTCGCACAAAGATCTTCTTCCGAGCCGGTCAGGTGGCTTATCTAGAGAAGCTGCGTCTGGACCGACTTCGAGGAGCCAGCGTTACCATCCAGAAACACGTCCGTGGGTGGAGCCAGAGGAGGAAGTACCTGCGCATGAGAGAGGCGGCCATCATCCTCCAACAGTACATCCGTGGAAAGAAGACGATTCGGTTAGAGCCATTCTGGTTGATTGCTCTCCATTATCCACTGAATCAACAAGAGTTTTCTCATTCCGACCCACTCGTTTTCTCTTTTCTCCAGTAAAATGGTGAGTGCTGCAACTCTGAAGCAGGGATGGGCTTCAATGGTGATCCAGAGACACTGGAGAGGATACCGCACACGACAGATCTACCAGTTAGTCCGTCTGGCCTCTGTCACCATCCAGGCCTTCACACGAGGCTGGATGGCCCGGAAACGGTACAAGAAGGTCAGTGAGTTATCAATAATGATCATTTGTGTCATTTGTGGTAATGAAAATCCAAACTGTCATCACGTGAGATTTATGCCCTGCCATCTCCTCCTTACCTGTCAGATGGTAGAAGAGAACAAAGCCCTGATTCTCCAGAAGTACGCCAGAGCGTGGCTGGCTCGACGGCGATTCCAAACCATGCGCAGGCTGGTGCTGAATGTTCAGCTTTCATTCAGAGTGCAGCAGCTCAGAAAGAAGATTGAAGAGCAGGTAAAGATGACTCCAGTTATATTATCTGTGGTTTTTTTATTTATTCAGTTGACATGCACTTTGTGAATTCCTGTGCCTTGACAGAATAAAGAGAACCGTGGGTTGATGGAGAGACTGACCTGCTTGGCCAACACTCACTCTCAGACTGTGGACAGACTTCAGGGTGTGGAGGCGCAGCTGCAAAAATCAACCAGCCAGAAGGCGTCTGTGGAGGCAAGAGAGAAGAAAGTGAAAGAAAATGCTACTCAGGTCAGGAGGAGGTTATGTTTTCACCCCTGCCCCTTTGTTTGTTTGTGAGAAAAATGACACAAAAACAACTGAACAGATTGTCATGAAACGTAGTGGAAGGAGGTGATATCGGTCAAACATGGCGGATCCAGACTAAGGACATTTTGGGAACTATTATCTATCAAATTTGGTGCAGCTTGATTGAATTTAAAGCGATGGTTGGGCCTTGGTGGAGGTGTGAGCTCTACGTTGTGTCATCCAACCTCTAGCTATGTTTTTGTCTTTTCAGTTTTTTGTCTGCTGATGAAACAGACTTTATAATACTGCATTTTTTTTACTCTGGTTCTAGACAATTGCACAACTTCAAAAGGAGATAAATGTTCTAACCCTTGAAAAACAGAACTTGGACAAAAAGTTTGAAGCTTCCACCACAGAGGCCAAAGGTAACAGTAAAGAGGTGGAGGAACTCTATTTTTGCAATAATTCAAACCATATTTCTGACCTGTTTTACTCTCCTGCAGAGAACTTTGATGTGATAAAAAGAAATCTGCTTGACGAAAAAGAAACTGAAGCAAGGCTAAGAAAGTAGGAAACAAAAATGTTGTTATACTGAAAAGATGTCCTTGCTCGATCAATTAGTTGGAGTATTAATGGGAGAAATTGTTGACAGGATTGCAGAGAACAACATGGAGATCCAGAGACAGGACCATGAGAAGGAGGTGGAAGCTCTGAAAGAGGAGATCAAGAGACTGAAGGAGGAGAGAGTCACTCTGCACAGAAAGGTCGAGGAGGAAGGCCAGGTGAACTCCGACCTGCAGGAACAGGTCCTCCAGCTCACCAAGCACGTCAAGACCATTCCTGAGCTGCGCAGAGATCTGAACAACCTGCAGAACCAGAGAAATAACGTGGACCGGAAGATGAAGCAGCAGTCGGAACAAGCAAGAGGTACAGACTTTACCATGCGTAGTGAAGCTTATTACCTTTTACAGATGGAGTTGCTGTTTTCATTGTTGTCTTTTGGGATTTTTTCTGTCTATTATTACACACAAATGAAATGTTATTACATTGAATGTAAGGGGACTGATGGGGCTTGGCTGAGGTATGCTCTCTACTGAGTGACTTTTATTTATAAAAATGTGACGACCTCATGTTCACAAATGAAAATCATGTTTTGCCGATAATACCTGAATATTTCTGTGCAGCCAAAATGAACGAGATTACAAGACAACTTCTTGGTGGTGTTGTTGAAGAAGAGGTTCTTTTGGGGTAACTTCTTTAAATATCTTCCTATTCTCTCTCTTGTATTTATTCTTCATCTGAAATGTAATCTCACACATTGTTTGTGTGAAGGCTGACTCCAAATGACTCTGAGAAGATTTATGAGGTTGAAGATTTGCTGGCAGCTTTTGAAGGACTGCAGAAAGCTACCAGGTATATTTTTTTACTATCAACAACTGTAGTTTTTCCATTGAGTATGAAAGTCCCCCTCCAGAGAAAATACATTATTTATGTTAACATGTCCCCTTGTGCCTTTATATGATAAAAGACATATCTTGAACAAAGTGAGTGTTTCACCTTAAGGGCCTGGTTAAGTTTGACTCCACACAAAGCCATGCTGTGATTTGCCTCGCCACAGGAAGCAAATGTTTTAAGCCAGTTTAAGGCCACGAGGGAAAATCATTCAAATATTTGAATATGTAAGTTTAAGTTAGAAAGAAGAGTTGTAATGGGTGTAATAAGCTGCAGGAGTGGGACTTTAAGTCTGTGTAACAAACCTGGGTACAACTTGATCCTGTTCATGGATGTACGTGGTTCCACCTTTGATGGCAGAATACTGGAAACCCACCAGAGAGAGCAGAAGGAGAGCTATGAGACCCAGCTTGAGGGCCTGCAGTTGAAAGTGGACCACCTTCAAAATGAGAACAGCAAGCTTCAAAACCTGTTCCAGGAGAAAAGCAACATCAATGAGAACATTCGCCAAGAAGTGTCCAGACTCAGCAGCGAGAACTCGGTGCGTAATATGATAGTCGACTGATTCCGTATTTGGTTTCTGAAGAGAGATGAGTTGCAGTAGGTGCAGTGATTGCGCTTCTTCTTATTTGATGTTGTCCACAGGTTCTACCAGAGCTGAAGCTGCAGGTGTCAGAGCTGCAGAGACATAAACAGGAACTGGAGGTCCATGCAAAGGAGCTGAACAGAGAGTTAGAAGGTAGAGCTGAGTGTTTCTTCTTTTCAAGGATATTAACATGTAGTTTCAGTATTTTACCTGTTCTTATGTCTGTTTTTTTCTATTTCATCTGAAAGAAAAAACTGAGGAGATCACCAACACTCTTCAAACAAAAATTAAAGAAGAGAGTTTACAGCGCAGGTAATTCATTCAGGGTGGAGTATGTTTCCTGATTGAAGATGGGAAGGACATTTCTGCGTTTGGCTGATTTCTTTTGCTTTGCAGACACTTTGAGGAGAAAGCTGAGGCGCTGGAGGAGTTGAAGAGGCAGCTTCAAGGCCGAGTGGAGGATCTGGAAGAGGAGAACGATCACTTGAGGAGACAGCAGCTGATGGAGAGTGAGGCCAAGAGTAAACTGAGAGAGGAGACTTCACAGTTAACTGCTGAGAACATGGTATAGATATAAATAGTTTACGCTTGCAGTGCAAGTGTGTGGATGCTTCACTTTTCTTCAAGAAAGTCTGTAACAAACTTGACTTCTCTTCCAGGACTTTGAAGAGCAGCTCGACCAGAGAGACAGATTAATAAAGAAACTCCAGAATCAAATCAACAGCTTTGAGTCATCACAGAAAGGTAGTGTTATGGCTTGAAGCTGTGAATTATCAAAAAAAAAAAAAAAACAGAGCTCCTCGTTAATCATTTCATTGTTTCTCACACAGCCAAGCAAACTTCTGCTCCGGCAATGCCTAAAGATTACCTCGGCATGTTGGAATACAAGAGGGAGGACGAACCCAGGCTCATCCAGAACATCATCCTGGGTATTTTTCCTCTCGACTGTTTCTTTACGATGGTCATGTTCTGCCTGTGCTTGCAGCAGGGTCCTCTTTGAATTTAAGCAGGATTCAACTAAATGAAAATAATCATCATGTCACAATCTTTCCATAGACCTGAAGCCCAAGGGTGTGGTGGTCAACATGATCCCGGGTCTGCCAGCCTACATCCTCTTCATGTGCGTCCGCTTCGCTGACTACCTGAATGACGAAACCAAACTCAAGTCTCTTATGAATGCAACCATCTGTGCTATCAAAAAGATCATCATGGTGAGGTTGATTATAAGTTTATCAGCCTTTATCTGCGCTGTAGATCAGCATAATGATTATTACTCATGTTCTTATCTAAGGTGATATAGTAATTTGGCAGCAGTTTAGTTGGCTCTTGTATTTGACTCAGAGAGATGTTGTTGATGTAAGGAATGAAGGAAAGGAAAGATTTTCAAAATGAATAAATAAAACTGGAATAGCCCATACCTCCACCAGCGCCCCACACACTCCTTATGAAACCACATTTAAGTTCTCTTAAATTTAACACAGGCATACAGAACCTTAAAAGTGTCTTTTAAAAAAAAAAAATCAAGATCCAGGAATTATTCTGTGAGGAATTAATGAAAATGTTGAAAACACCCTATGACACAGGAAAGTGAAAAATAGAAAATTCTGGATCTGCCCCCTGCTGCGGATCCACATTCAAATTTAATGGATTTTTTTCTGTAGTGATCTTGCTAACAAACAGACAGATAAGCTAACAAACAGACAGGGAAGAAAACACAATAAAACACTACATCTCCAAAAAATTAGAAAAAAACATCTGCATGACCACTAGAATAAGGGAGGTGGGCAAGCGAAGGAGAAAGGTAAATGGAGTATATATTAGTTAAAAGGTAACTTAACAAGTAGANAAATTATATTGCAAATGAAAATAAATGAAAACAAAAACACGGCTGCTGTTTTTATGTTGCAGGATCACCCTAAAGACTTTGAGTTGCTCTCCTTCTGGCTCTCTAACACATGTCAGCTGCTCAACTGTCTGAAGCAGTACAGCGGGGAGGAGGTATGTATGGATCTGCTCTGTTTAACCTGGTTGTGCTTTGTGTCTGTAATGTACAGCTGCAGGCATATCTCAACCCTCTTTTGTTCTCTGAAGGAGTTCATGAAACAAAATACTCCCCACCAGAAGAAGAACTGTCTGCAGAATTTTGATTTGTCAGAGCACAGACAGATTCTCAGCGACCTGGCCATCCACATCTACCATCAGTTTATCACGGTTATGGAAAAGAGCATCACTCCTGGGATTGGTATTCCTCACAGTCTGTTATTGTAATATTTTGATAGTGGTAACCCTTGATCAGTGCTCTAAACCGTGCTTCGTGTCCCACAGTACCTGGTATGTTGGAGCACGAGAGTTTACAAGGGATTTCTAGTATGAAGCCGACGGGCTTCAGAAAACGTTCCAACAGCATCTACGAGGACTCAGAGACCTACAGCATCTCCTCCATCATTCAGCAGCTCAGTGTCTTCCATTCCACCATGAACCAGCATGGCATGGAGCAGGGCCTCATCAAACAAGCCGTCAAACAACTGTTCTACCAAGTGGGGGCCACCACACTCAACAACATCATGCTCCGCAAAGACATGTGCTCCTGCAGGAAGGGAATGCAAATCAGGTCTGTGTTTGATTTTTATTGGTATTGGAATGAAAGTCAAAGAAAAAAGTTGGGTTTAACAGTCCTGATGGATCCGATCACAAGTGGAAAGCGTTAAGTTTGTTCACACCTGGTATTAAAGTGTGTCCTGGGTGTGTCTGCCGTGACTCACTTCCTTGCTCTAAATGCAAATACACATGTTCATCATTTGAGATAGAAAATACCAATGTAGTTTACAGGGTGATAGTGTCTGTGTTTGTTTAGGTGTAACATCAGTTACCTGGAGGAGTGGCTGAAGGAGAAGGAACTTCAGAGCTCTAATGCTATAGATACTCTGAGGCCGTTGTCTCAAGCCGCCTGGCTGCTGCAAGTCAACAAGTCAACGGACGATGACGCCAAGGAGATCACTGAAAAATGCACTGAACTCAACCCTGTTCAGGTATTTATTCACTGAAATACTGTATCATATGTATTTCAATATTGAAAACTACAGCATCCATAGAATAAAACTCAATTTGTGTTTGTAGATTGTCAAGATTTTGAATTCATACACACCTATAGATGATTTTGAGAAAAGAGTGTCATCATCCTTTGTCCGCAAAGTTCAGGTGAGCTCTGCTTTTAATTTTTCTTATATTTGAATGCGATGAGATTTTCTTTTACTTCACTGAACCTGTTTTTGTTTGCAGTCATTGGTGCAAGATCGTGCTGGCTCCACACAGCTGATGCTGGACACGGATTATCGTTTCCAGGTCACGTTTCCTTTCTGCCCATCCCTGCAGGCTCTGGAGCTCCTGCAGGTCCCAAACAGTCTCCGTCTGGGCTTTCTGACCCGGATCTGACCCAGCGGACCTCTGACCTTTCCCTCCATATGACTGATTCATAATCTACCGGCCTGTGGCTGCATGTTAATGTGTATATTAATATATAAACACTTTTAATAAACAATTCACACCCCATATTAAAAATGTTGGGCCATAGGTGGGATTTAAGAAAGAAAGACTGAGGTCATGTCAATCCCCTCTGAACTACTTTTTCTGTTTATTCCATCCATCTGTCATCTATACCACTTATTCTTTGAGGGTCACATGGAGAGCTGGAGCCAATCCCAGCTGACATAGGCCGAAATGCGGGGTATAAGAGTATAGAGTCTGCAATTATCTTAAACCCTTCTACATGTCTTTGGACTGTGCAGCTGGAGTACCTGGAGAAAACTCACCCAGAAACAGGGACAATGTGCAACATACAATATCACATACTTTTGTCAGTTTATAGAAAAATATTTTTTTCAAATTTATTGGAACTACATGGAATAGTCGAATTATCAATTAGGTCAAGAGAAAGAGAAAATGTATGGTAATGGTTAATAGACTATGCTTATACATCAGTTTAGACTCTCTATTGTCAAGAAATTTTAGATTATCAAAGTAAATAATGGGCAGTTTAATCTATAGTGGAAATAATAGTTGGGGCTGCAAATTAAATTTACCAATTATTTTCTGTCCCCTTGAAAGTAGTCAAATTTGAGTCTAATAAATGTAATGTAATGTAAATGTATTTCCCAGGTTGCTCAATCTCCTAAATTCCACCGGAAAAAATGACATGACCTCATTGTGCTAAATTGTAGCTATGGCTCTATTAAAATGTGAAAGAGTAATCAATAAAATTGTGCAGTATTTTCAATAATTTTCTTACAATGAACATTTTAAATATATTTCCTGTAACATATTTAATAATGATAACGGTGTCTCACAGAATAAATTCACACAGTCAATATAAAAGCAAGAAAGTCATGATCAAAAACATTCAGCCTAAATAAAAGGATTATAGCATGTTGTCGAACACATAAGCAAGATAGCCTTCCTGCAAATGTAGGTGAATCTTAATATGTTAAAATAATAATTACATCCACTGGAATACTACTTTGTGTTTTATATCAAACTGTAAGGGCTTATGTCACAGTGTGTTGTGTTTTCACAGTGAAAATACATTATTTAGTTACAGGGTACAGTGAGGCTGCTGCTGCTGCTGAGGATGCAGCATCACTGGGATACAGGACCCAACTCCTCCTCCTCCTCCTCCTCGGGAAGCTGGAGGAGCATCTTCTCCCCGTGACGTCATGACAGCAGCATCAGCTGTTAGCTGCGCTTTAAGCCTTTTCGCCGCCTGCACCGCTGCCCTGCACAAAGGAAATATATGAGATCCCCTCTAATCCCTGAAATGGCGACACAGGAGGTACAGCTGAGCGAGACCCTAACCCACCTCAAGACGGAGTCGGAGACGCTGAAGTCGAAGCTGGAGGATGAGCGAGCGAAGCTGCACGACGTCGAGCGTGAGTCCCGCTGAAAATGGAGAGGCCTCGGTTCACCCCTGCGTCTCACACCGGGACCGATCGCACTGAAACACGGCACTATATTATTTAATACCCGCGTGTGTTTGTTCTGGGGGTTGCACCTCGTCGATCTCACGGGGGTGGGCGTTAGTCGAAGCTGGTTATTGATCCGAGTGGCCTGACGTTACCCCACATTTGACAGGATGTTTGTTTGCCCCCTGATTTCACAGTCCACCGCCTCCATCCCAACCTCCTCCATCATGTACTTCTGTCCGATGTGTCTCAGCTGTATGTGATGTTGAGTGTTCATGTGAAAACATTAGAAGACGTGTTTCTTATGAGATGCTCACAAAAGCTATTTGAGGACAATAATCCCTCCACTGAGTGTAGGCCTGCTGTAGTTTAATCCGCTGCCAGCAATATTAATAGATGGTGCATATTCATGAGAAGGGTTAATGTGATGGACATTGTGTGTGTGTGTGTGTGTGCAGTACACCAGGTGGCAGAGAAGGTGGAGGGACTGGGTCAGTTTGTCATGAAGACCCGGAGAACTCTGAAGGGCCACGGCAACAAAGTTCTGTGTATGGACTGGTGTAAGGACAAGAGGAGGATCGTCAGCTCCTCACAGGTCACTCACTATAACTGGATCTGGAGAGTCAGGTTGGAATTGTCATCTGCACGACAGCAAATGAGTTTTACATTGTACCTGTTCTTATTATTTGCAGGATGGAAAAGTGATAGTATGGGATGCTTTCACCACCAACAAGGTAACAGCTCTTCTCAGTGTACAGATGTTCTATTTCTAACTGAAAACCATCTGGGGCATGTTAAAGGTTCAGTGTGTAAGATTTAGGGACATCTAGTGGTGAAGTTTCACATTGCAGCTGAATACCCCCCACCTCACTCTCCCCTTCCAAACACGAAGGAGACCCTCCACTGATGTAAATCTAAAGTATTTCAATATAAAGGGGCCATTTTAGGGGAAATAAAACAACAATTTAGGTAGGGTGAGTTTATATTTGATTTCAGCCAATAGATCCATTTCGCCTAAACACACTGGATCTTTAACAAATATGTAATCATCAAAGGCATATTCACATTTTACCCATTCTTAATATATGCTGATATTTACACACTTTTTTGCAAGCCAGTGTTTATGATGCCTCGTACAAACCTCCTGAACATTCTTAACTGTAGTCTATTAAATTAAATTAAGTTATCAGCAATAAGTTTTTTACTGGTGCCTCATAGTGTGGACATAAGTTCCACCAGAGTGACCTTTCTCTTAGGTGATCAACTGATGCGACTGATTTATTAGATGGATTTTATTAGCTCTCAAAGGACGATAATCAGAGTACAAAAGCAAAAATAGTGCGAACAGAGATGTAGCCATGCAATGAATTTAAAGCCTTTTAGATTTATTTCAGTCATAAGTATATTAAAACATGGAAATATAATGTGTTCATAAAATCAAAGATATAAGGTTTGTGATTTTAATGTAATTTTTAAAGGGTTGCAATAAATTCTTCTAATAATCTTTTCCTTTCAGTGGCTCCAGTATCATGCAGGAAAATAAACTAGATTTCAGTGAGAATTTCTCATATTTCTACAGCGATTGCTATAAGAGATAGAAAAGCAGCACAAAGGTTATTGTTTTTATTGTTAAGAGGAAGAGGATTCTACCCAAAACATTTTAGAAATGTATTTAAACAACCATCCCAAATTATTGTATTAGTTTTTCAGGTTCATTATAACACCTCTAATGTCCAGCAGCCTTAAACTCTCCGCTCTGATTATGCCGAATGAATCTGATTCTGATTCAGTGGAGCTCATGCAGCTTTGTCTTTTGGTGTTTTATCAGGAGCACGCTGTGACAATGCCTTGCACCTGGGTGATGGCCTGCGCCTACGCTCCCTCTGGGTGCGCTGTAGCCTGTGGGTGAGTACGATCTAAATGCGGTTAGTCATGTTTTAGTTTTTTTGTGGGGATCTTTTTGTAAATTGGTTGTTGTTTTGTGCCACAGTGGTCTGGACAACAAATGCTCTGTGTATCCTCTGTCCCTGGACAAGAATGAGAACTTGGCTGCGAAGAAGAAGTCCGTGGCCATGCACACAAACTATCTATCTGCCTGTAGCTTCACCAACTCAGATATGCAGGTGAGACTATTCCCAACACACAGCGAATAAATCAAGAATCACACAGATTACTGAGGAAAAAACAGAAACATATATTGAGTTTTTCTGTTTTAACATCAGTTAAGGTTCCAAGAAGAAAACACAGCTGGTTTTCTAGTAGTGACTTTTTCTCTCTCATTATTAATCAGAAATCACTGCCGTCCATATGCGAGCGGAGGAAGCTTCCTCACTTTGTTAATAATTCACAGCAGCCAGTTCCCTGGTCACATGATGCCTCACACAGCAAAGACCATTTATAGCCGTGTGTTTGCCCACATCGCCTTTTTACTGAACTTCAGAACTTCCTCTTCATTGTCTGCTTGTGTTAAAGATCCTGACATCCAGCGGGGATGGCACGTGTGCATTATGGGATGTTGAGAGCGGGCAGCTACTGCAGAGTTTCCATGGACATGCAGCAGATGTGCTCTGTCTGGACCTGGCCCCCTCTGAGACCGGAAACACATTCGTTTCAGGGGTGAGGACACAAATCCTCATTGCTTTGTCAATGAATTGATTTTGATTGATTTTGATTTTGTCACGTTCTTCATCATTTATGTCACTGCAGGGTTGTGATAAGAAGGCCAATGTGTGGGACATGCGCTCAGGACAGTGTATTCAGTCCTTTGAAACACATGAATCTGACATAAATAGTGTGCGGTAAGTGAGTATTATTTATTATTATTTTGATGGACTTTTTTGTGGAAAGATTACAATCTGGTGAAAACAGATTCTGTGTATTTTTTGCCCATTTGCTCTCAACCCCAGTATCTTTTTTGTATTATTACTAGATTTCTCTACAGATCAGATATATTGAAATCAAGGCTTTAAGAGAGTAATCTGTTTCTGACTGTGTCTGTTTCTTTTTTTTAGATATTATCCCAGTGGAGATGCATTTGCCTCTGGCTCAGACGATGCTACTGTACGTATACTGATATTATTTACTGATCTTAAAGGAATAATTCTACATTTTGGGAAACATGCTCAATCATTTCCTACGAATGAGATGAGAAAATCAATATCACTGTCATGTCTGTACAGTAAGTATGAGGCCACTGCCAGCAGCTGGTTAGCTTAACTTAGCATAGAGACTGGAAACAGAGAGAAACAGTTAGCCTGCCTCTGTCTCAGCGTAACAAAATCTAACTTCGAGCCTCTAAATCTCATTAGAGGCAGGTTCAGACATGCATTGAAGAGTCAGGTGCTACAAACATTTATTCATTTATTTTTGTATTCCCTTTATTGAGAGTTCAGCAGGAAAATGTTTGGGAAAGTTACAGTAAGAGAGTGGGTGTGTTGACGTTTCTAATATGCAACAGATGCAAAACTGAAAAAGAAAAGAAAAACAATGGAATTCAAGAGAAGCTGAATTTATACGTCGTGTCCTGCCTCCTGCTACTCTGTCGCCACTAGTCGCCTAAACGTTCTGGACATTTTCCTGCTGCTGTGAATTTGTCTGACTTGTCCCGGCCCAATTTGTCCAGACATTTTCCAGAGTCCATATCGGAATGTTATGTAATTAACACAAATAAGTCACATGTTTCATTTGCATACAAAAATGAAGCGAATAATTGAGTTTCCCAAACTGTCGAACTGTTCCTAAACTGTCTGCTGGAGAGGCTCCTATTATTTACTTCACAAAGTGCTCCTGGTAATCTATGCATTTAAAACCCAGACACTGACTTCTGTTACAGTGCCGCCTGTATGACTTGAGGGCAGACAGAGAAGTGGCCATTTATTCCAAAGAGAGCATCATATTCGGGGTCTCCAGTGTTGATTTCTCTCTCAGTGGTAAGATATTGGCACATTTAACTTTCAGAGTTACTCTGAATATCAAAGTTCAAAGCGATTCCCCCCTGAGGTTAAACATATTGCTTTTACTTACTGTTAAATACATTTGTGTGTTTCGCAGGCCGACTACTGTTTGGGGGATATAATGACTACACCATAAATGTTTGGGACGTTCTCAAAGGAACACGGGTGTCAATTCTGTTTGGACATGAGAACCGTGTCAGTACACTGCGAGTGTCCCCTGATGGGACCGCCTTCTCCACAGGTTCCTGGGACCACACTCTGAGGGTATGAGATGTTTGTTGTTATCATCTGGTTTGACAGCTTTTCAGTCTGAAATCACCTTTGTCCTCTAATGACGTACTGTTTGTCTTTCTCAAGATCTGGGCTTAAGGATGAAGACACAGAGGAATAAGTGGTACACAGACTTACTGAAGACACACCAATGTTTCTGTTTGCTAGAGTACAATCACAGAGATAGAGACTCCATCTTGGTTGTACATAGAGCATAATAATAGCATTGTATATACTTCAGTCTCCTGGCCATGGTAGAGAAACATATTACAGAGACTTATTAAACCAAATGGCACGCTTGTATTACAGTATGATTGAAAGAAAATTGCACAGAAATACTTATGGTTACAACTCGAGATTTAAAATGTATATTATAGAAATTATAATTGGTAGTGACTAGCATCAGTCTAGGATAGAAGTGACACAAAAAAGTGATGTATTGTATGTGCCCACAATTACTTGTTTATTTATTAGATTTTTTGCACAAAAAAATTGGAATGCAATCCGTGAAAGCAAATGGGACATCTGCAGGAGAAGCAGTGAGGTTTAAACCTCAGAGCTTCATTCCGTCAGTCGTAGTCATAGGGAGAGGTAGGGAATACGTAGTTTCTGTGCAAATGGGAAATATTGGAAAATCTAGCATAGTAGTGAAGATGGACTAGATTGACTTGTTGTGAGTCAATATTAGTTTATCTGCAGCAATTAAAAATAATATTACATATCAATGAGCACTGGCATAAAATATTATGACCATAAAGGCAAATTAGTAGTTTATCAAAGATGGGGACAGAAAGCAAATTCATGTATCATTCATTCTCCAACTTCTACTTTCTTTACAGTAACTCACGTGCCAATATTAATCTATTGTAAGAAAGCACATTTTAAGGTAAACCTGATAGATGTTTTTATTTTCATTCATCCTGGTGATCTTAATACATGTGGTTTACCTCTTCCTGCTGTGGAAGCCACTCAGTACTACTCTATGTGCACATTCAGTCACTGCAAACACCTTCAACCTCTGAACCTGTGGTCCCCCAGAAGATATCTGCATATATATATATATATATATATATATATATATATATATATATGTTAGAATCCACTCCTCATTTTCATGCAGTTGTCTAATGGCTGTAATTTCATATTTACTGTAATTATTGATTGTAGTTAAGTGTACAGTTATACAAGGGACTGTTTATCAAGATATTACAAACATAATAAACTGAGTTTTGAATATCATAACAATGTGTTTCATTTTTTTGTCAACCTTATCTTGTACTTTTATTGTATTATCAATTCTGCAACTTATTTTCTTTCTTCAGTAACTCACATACTATTGTAAGAAAACACATGGACCTCTGAACCCCCAGTCGATATCTATACATCTGTGTGTGTCTGTGTTTGTGTGTCTGTGTGTGTGAGTTATCTACCCCTGCTTTTCATGCAGTTGTTTAATGGCTGTAATTTCCTATTAATATAAAATATTTTATATTTGCATATTAAATATTTTATTTTATTATTGTATTGTCATTGTTTAGTTTATTGTAGTTTAGTGTACAGTTAAACCAGGGACTCATTCTTAGAATTGTATATTATATATAATTATATATGATGTTTTACCTGAGTTTATACTTTTGCCATTTATTATCACAATTTACCTGCAGATACTGTTGGATCTTAGTCTTTTTAATAAAGTTTTTCAAATTCAAGCGGAAGTGACGTCGTGAACAAGCCTCGGCTGCGCCGCTGAATCAAAACAATGGCGGACAGGCAGCGTAGCGCTCCTCTCTCGTGGTCTGTTTAAAGGTGTAACAGCCGACATTGAGTGTCTCTATGTGGGAGAGAGTCCCCGGGATAACGAGGTGATTTGATGGTTGTGTTGTAGGAGAAACAAACCTGCTGCCAAGATGAGCGACGTTGTGGAGAAGACCCTGACAGCTCTGCCCAGCCTCCTGTCTCTGGACTCTCAGCCTGGATCTGCTAAACTCTCCTCCTCCTCCAAACTGGGAAACCTCATCAGAGGAATCACCGAGCTCACGTCCAAACATGTGAGTGTGTTATTTACGGAGGCAGCTCAGCTCAGCAACACGAGTCACGTGTGATGACACTTTCTCATCACACGCTTTGGCTAACATGACCATGCTAACTCCAAGAGGTTTGTTTATGTTCTGTAAATCTCCAGAAGATATCTGAGCTCATCGTTGATTCTGTTAATACCAAGAGGATGTTCTATTTTATAAAGCTCAGACATTTACGTCATGACGAGTCAAACTATCAACAGACTCTCATAACATGTCAACTTGAATTAAACACACACACAAAACATTAGCACACTGACTATACGTTTTTACACATGTATCAATTATATCTCTGTACACAAACGTTTTACATACAGCTTTTATAACATGTGTCTTACCTGTATTTGTGTGCACAAAACGTCTTAACACATGCACATATTATTTTATTACACACACACACACACACACACACACACACACTGCTGTCATGGTCTGTCATTTGTGAAATCCCAACAACTAAGGTTCTTGATGCGTAAAAATGGAAATAATGAAATTATTTAGAGAGGTGACAGAAATTTCACCTCACTCTCGTTCATGGTGCCTCCCACCCCCCTCTGTGTGTCATGTTTCAAGTGATTTTAATGTAGAAATTGTGGGGGGGAAAAGGGAAAGTCAGCTCCATTTTCATTATGGCACTGAAAACTTGCTCTAATCAAAACATATTTTTAAAAATTATTTAAGAGGTGACAAAGAAATTTCACCTTACTCTTGTTCATGTTGACCCCCCCACCCCAAGTACCTTTACCATAAGATGTGCATCAATTTTGTAAGTGCGGCTGGCCTGATCGTTGTATCACATACGGCGGACCGTTTGACTTGAGGTACAACTGCAAGTATTAATTATTCGTGACTCATTGTAAATATTACAGCACCTGCTTTTTGATGTGAGAGAGAAAGCAGTAAAAAGAAGTTAAAAAATGAGTCACTAGATGGCAGAATTGTATCTACTGTGTCATCTTGATCCACGGTGTGATAATTCATCCATTGTTGGTTCCCAGATGACTGGTAAAGAAATTACTGCGAATTAATGATTTGACAATATTGCCTTAGTGTGGTACAGTGGAAACAGTGGTTATATCACACTTGATACCACATACGTAATCTGTTCTCTTTAGGAAGAGCCAATGTTATGTTAATCTTTACAAATCAAGACTCTACAGTATGACAGTGACATGGCCATCAGTGCTAAAAACAAATCAATTGAAAATATTATAGTCATAACAGTAATATTGAGAGTCAGATTGTGGATTTGTAGAAACTTGACAGTCCTGATATATTTGTTATATAACATAACGTAGCAGAACTTGTCAAGGCTAGACCAATACTTTCCTGACCTTATTTCCTGTTGCCCTTTGTTTTTTAAATCCATGAGGACGTGTTATAACTTTGTTGGACTTTTTTTTAATCTTTCCCACCTTCTTAAAATATTCTGAAAAGTCGCCAGGGGCCTTTCCATTAACATCCTGATATGTTAACAAGCTGAAGAATGTTTCTATAACCTAATATGCTCAGTTTTCTTTGCACATCAGTTCTTACTGCTTTTACTGTGTGTTTCTCTCGCTCAGGAGGAGGAGAAACTCATCCAGCGTGAACTAGCATCTATCAAAGAACAGGTGTCCTCCCCAAACACCACCATGGTACGGTTCTTCTGATTTCCTTGTTGGTTTTTGCACAAGAAACTAGATCATTCAAATCATTCAAATGATGCCTGGAACTATTTATTTGTTTACTTCTTTCTTGGGTCATATTGTGATTCAGAGGCAGATGAAGGAGCTAATGGTGAGAGCGATCTACTGTGAAAGTCTGGGTTATGAAGCTTCTTTCAGCTACATTCATGCCATCAAACTGGCTCAACAAGGGACTGCTCTGGAGAAAAGAGTTGGTATGTTTGTTTGTATTAAGCTGAAAAGCTAAGTCATTGCTTAGACTGTATTTATCCATTTATGAAAAGAACTCCACTGAATCTTCCTCCACTGCCACAGTCAAAAGTATTTGTGTGTTATTTTGCAGGTTACCTCGCTGTGTCCTTGTTCCTGAATGAAAATCATGAGCTGCTGCTTCTTCTTGTGAACACTGTATTAAAGGTGGGTGTGAGTTTTTACAGCATTCGTCATCTTGGATCCGAGCTGGAATAAGAAATGCTGATGTATTTTGTGTTTGCAGGACCTCCAGAGCACGAACCTTATTGAAGTGTGCATGGCTCTAACTGTTGTCAGTCAGATGTTTCCCAAAGATATGATACCTGCAATCCTTCCTCTGGTGGAGGAGAAACTTAATCACCCAAAGTAAGAAATGCTTATTGCCTCTCCAGTTCATTTAGTTACTTGTCTATTTGTGTGGTTAATGAAAACTTTTCTTGAATAATATGGTTTTTAACACATTTGTAGAGAAATCATTCGACGGAAAGCGGTGCTGGCACTGTACAAATTCTACCTGATTGCACCGAATCAAGTTCAACACATCCACAACAAGTTTCGCAAAGCTCTGTGCGACAAGGATCCTGGTGTGATGACAGCGTCACTGCACATTTACGTACAGATGATCCAGGTAGTTTGATTTTATGGACTTCTACTACGTTAACAAATATACAGACATCATGCAATCTTCTCATGTACTTTTTAAATTTTTTTGTTGTTTCAGGAGAATCCAGAAGGTTACAAGGACTTGACAGCAAGTTTTGTCACCATATTAAAACAGGTGGTGGGAGGAAAGCTTCCTGTAGATTTTAACTATCACAGTGTTCCTGCTCCATGGCTTCAAATCCAGCTTCTCCGAATATTGTCTTTACTTGGAAAAAATGACCCAAGGTAATTTAGTGTTTTCCATTTATTATGTAGACTGTGGTGGTCCACCATTTTCTAATTTGTCCCACCATGTAATCAGATGCTTTTGTGTGGTTTTGCTCTGATAATAAATTCTGTCTGCTCTGTATTCACAGCACCAGTGAGATCATGTATGAAGTCCTCGATGAGTCTTTACAAAGAGCAGAGATGAACCACAACATTACCTATGGTGAGTCACATTTAGAGCAACGTCTAATTAATGTGTTTGAAATCATATAGATAGTCCCAGTAGCCACTTACCTTAATCTCTCTTTTTTTTCAGCAATATTATTTGAGTGTGTAAAATGTGTATACACAATTCATCCCAAATCTGACCTTTTGGAAAAAGCTGCAAAGTGTATCGGCAACTTTGTTCTATCACAGAAGATAAATCTCAAATATCTTGGTAAGTTTAGAAGAAAACAAAGTATATATAATGCAATAAGTTTTTCTCCACTGAGAATCAAGATTTTATATTTAAGCTCTTATTTATCTGCTGTTATTTTAGGCTTGAAGGCTCTCACCTACGTGGTCCAACAGGATCCTAAACTGGCCCTGCAGCATCAGATGACCATCATAGAGTGTCTCGATCACCCTGACCTCATCATCAAGCGTGAGGTGAGACGAACAGTTGGTGTAGTTTGGATTTTGGTGTTACAGACTTTATGGAGCTAAAGGATTTTGTGCGTTATGGGTTATCTTGTAGACACTGGAGTTGCTCTTTCGGATCACTAACGCCCAGAACGTCATGGTCATTGTGGACAAGATGCTGGAGTTTCTGCGCGTCAGTACAGATGACTACACTACTATTGACCTGGTGGGGAAGGTGGCAGAACTGGCAGAAAAATATCCTTCTCAGTGAGATACTATACACTTTTTTTCTTTCTGGTGATCCACTGCACCTGGAAAACTGTAAACTCCTTATATAAAATAAACATGATAGTAGAAATACTTTGATCTAAATATTGAAATAACAGCCATTAACAAACCACAGTACCTGCTATAATATTCAGTGATCCAATAAGGAAATTATACTTAAATCATTGTCAACTATATTTCATATATTATTATGAATGTCTGTAAATCCACATCCTGCCAGTGTTTCTGATCATTAATTATTATTCTAGTGTAACTTTATCATGGTCGTGCAGTGGTCATTTCTTTAAATTTGTAATACCTTGTTTTTTCCTATTGTTGATATTTCCTATAAACATTATACATATGCACCGGACAATGAATGGTTCATCGAGACCATGAACACAGTGTTCTCAGTGGGTGGAGACATGATGCAGCCTGACATCCCTAACTGTTTCCTCAAGCTGCTGTCAGAGGGTGAGATAACCACCATTTAATCTGTGGTGTCCCCGTGGTGTGACATCGCTGTTCAGTTAATGGATCCTGATATTGATTCGATTTTGACGCTTAATGTCTCTTTAATGGCCCAGGATTTGACAGTGTGGAGGAGGACAGGAAGCTGAGGCGGTTTGCTGTGGATTCATATGTCTCTCTGCTGCGAGGAGAGCCTGGCAAGCTGCCACAGCGCTTCCTCCAAGTCATCAGCTGGGTGAGTGCCGTTTGCATGTTGAGCACTTTGTATAAGTGTTATGTAATAAAAATGAGCGCAATAAGGGAAAAAGGAAAAGAAATACAGCATTTGATTTAGCACACTCCACTAATTACCTAACCTGCAGACGAAAAAAGGAAGAATATATAATTAATGCCAGTTAGCATAGCTACCCATACATTATCTATATCACTTATCCTCTTTAGGTCATGGGGGGGCTGTATATAATCCCATCTGACATTGGGCAAGATTATCATAACTACAGGAAATAAAAAACAAGCTCATTTAGAAGCTACAGCTTAATACCAAAGTTCCATCATTTTAATGGTTTAGAGATCAATATGACTCTTAGAAGGTGATAAGTGCCTGTTGAGAAGATCTCAGTGATCTTATAGTGAAGGTTCTGTTGCACTTAGAAACACTTTTTTAATAAACGTTTTTTGGTGGTATGTAGTTTGTAATGTGTATATTTTCTCTACAAACACCCTGGTTGGAATATTCTTCGGTATATGTTCTTTGGTTGTGAGAAAGAATATGAACACCTACTGTCTCTGTCTGTAGTTTGTGAGACAACATGGCGTTTGGAGGATTATTCTCTACGGGGCTACTTTACCTTATCTTCAATAATGGGGATGAATTAGAAATTCTTAGACTCTTCATATTCTTGATAATCTGTTGTACTTGACGTATGTGTTGAATTTAATTCATTATTGTCTCAAAAAGTCTGACATTTAAATTGTTGAAACCTACAGAAACACTTTTACTTGTAAGGCACAAGTTCTTTCTTTACCTGTAAAACACATTCTTAGGCTTTGCCCCCTCTGTCTTGCTCAGGTCCTCGGTGAATACTCTCACTTGAGGGAGGAACTTGAACCAGCCACAGTCCTGCGACTTCTGGGAAAACTGTTAGATATGAAGCAAACCAGCAGCGAAACCAAGACCTGGGTCCTCATGGCAATGACCAAACTCAGCGAGGGCGGAGCAAGTGTTGCTGTCGCTCAGCAGGTTTCTGAAACATACATCAGCTCAATGGACACAGTGCTGAGACAGAGGGCTCAGGAGCTGCAGCACCTCAGCCAAGACTCTCAACTACGAGCCAGGGTGCTACCTCGAGACGATGGCCTGGAGCCTCTGGAGGTAGCATTTATAAAGGGCTGCAGAATTACAATAATTATGTTTAAGTGTTTGGATTTTATGATTGTAATGGTTCTAGATATAATATGAAGACATTTAATTTGATTTTAAATGTCCAGTAATGTTGTCAACGCTTGATTAAAGATGTCACAAACACCCGAAAATGATTTTACTCTCGTAACCGCAGCAGATTAAGATCAATGGCTTAGGCTTATTTATTTAGGCTTATAAAAAAGGCTTATTTTCCTAACCATCACATACTGAGAATTTACCAGGGAGGAGGAACCTCAACCTCCTCCCTGGTAAATTCTCAGTATGTGATGGTTTGGAAAATAAGCCTGCTTCCACTTGCCCTCCATGACACACACAATTAGATTAATGAAGGTATTTAACCACGATAAAAGGGATCATAAATTCAGCCGTCTCAGTGCAGCTGTCTTAGCATGTCTGAAATGTGAAGGGAGGGGTTTACCACACAACAGTATTCAGTATCGGTCAGCTGAAAAGAAAGTAACCATAACACTTTTAATGCATACAAATGTAATGTAATGTGATTTTTTTTCTGTCATGAAAGTGTTCAGTGATAAAGATGTAGGGTACTTGCAAACCCTCAAATATGACGTCTTTGATTAAAATCCTGCAGAAATTTACCAAAGAACCTGTTCCTCCTGATTAAAGGAGAAGTTTAAACTTGCTGTTGTGTTGATATTTTGTTTCCAAGGTGGATTCCTCTCTGTCGTTTCTGGATGGGTTCGTCTCGGAGGCGTTGGCTGCTGGCGCTGCTCCATACAAGCCTCCTCATCAACGGCAGGAGGAATTAGCTCAGGCAAAAGGTAAAAACAGTTGAAAGCGATCAGACTGTTGCATGTTTGGCACAATGTGAGCTGCCTTGTTTTGAATTGTTCTGACTCTATTGTGTGCCTCAGCGTTGAGCCTGGAGCCATACGGCCTGTCCCTGCCCATCAGCATGTCCTCCTGCAGCATCGCTGATAGACAGTCTCCCACGCTGTTGTCCATAAGCTCTGGTCTGTCGGGTGACAGTACTGAGCTCTCCCACAAAGGAGGGTATGAGGACACACTGTGCATACCTCTGAATTATGCGCTCTTTATTGTTTTGAACCCACACTGATTTTTTCTCCATTTTTGCTTCAGCTCTACAACTCTGAAGCTGGATGGAGTGAAGCGTGTGTGGGGGAGGGAGGGGTACCTGGCACAGAGGGAATCTGTGGAGGAAGTTGCCCAGGTGGAGGTACCGAGTCCCCTCCGCTCACCCAGCCAGCAGGCGGAGGCTGACAGCTCACACAGCCAGACTCCGACCCTGACACCAACCCCTGAGCCCAAACAAGATAAACAGCAGCTGGCTTCCTCACTGTTTTTTGGCCTCAGCTCCCAAAGCCCCATGTGTCTGGTGAGCGCTTAAATTCTTTGTCTGTTTGAAGCAGAGCTGCACAATATGGAGATAAGTTCAAAAGTAAAAGCAGAGTATTCCACACACACACACTCCATTACAAGAACTCACATTATTAACCCGATGGATCTCAGACCTTCATCAGGGAAGATTCATACTCAAACTGATGAAGGTCTAAAGGAGGTAAGATGTTAAAAAGGTGAGTTCATGTGATGGAAACGACTTTCTTGATTCACAGATTAATCCTACAGTTACAGAAGTGCAAAATATTTATTTAAATTGGCTGTATCAGAACAAAAGTTTCTCTCAAAAGTCAAAAATAAGAACATTTTAGATTTATCACTTTGACTTTACATCAGATCTACTTGTTCTCTACATCTCCGCTAATTTGATGATATTGCAATGTTTTGACTGTTGAAAATTGACCTTGTTTTCCCTCTAACAGATGGGAAAACCTGAGCCGACACCCAGTCGATTCAGAGGAAAAAAAAAAATTCAGGGCTCATCCCCGAGCACCACTGAGCAAACACCCAGTTCCCTCGTCTCTACTCCCAGCACCGTGGATAACCTGCTGTGTAATGACCCGCTGGACATCACCTCAGAGCCGACCGTTTCCTCGTCTAAAATCACATCAGAACTCTCCCCTGGCCTCATTACGCCTGCTAATGGCACCTGTGATGTAGAGGCTAACTTTACCGGCAGTGATGTAAACGAAAGTAACCCCCTCCTCAGTGAGGATGATGGTTTAGCAGCTGCTGATCCCACTCCACACGAAGACCCAGACAGACCTAAAGACTTGTGTCTCAGTTCTCATCTGCCTGCAGAGCTATGTGGACTCGGCCACTCAGAAATCACTCCTCTGTGCACGAACCAAAGTCTGGACCTCTCAGCCTGTCATGTGCAGAAGGAGGATTCCTTAGTGCTCGTCATTTTCATTTCCAACTCCTCTGCCATTCAACAGATACTACTGGATCTTCACTCAGAACAACTAGAGGTAATATACTGAGCTAAAAATGACAAATGAGGACTGAAGCTGTCTTTAATAGTCTTTTATATTAAAGGCCATTTTATTTTCAGGTATCCCGTTTGTCTGACAGTCCAGTGGTGGATGTGAGTAGCCACGGTGTAGCAGTGTACCAGTATTCCCTGACTGTGAAGAGGCCTTCAGTTCATGTTGAAGTAGTCGGGATAGTTTCTTACCAGTTGTGCGATGGGACGCCTCAGACACTGCAGTTCTCATACAGACTCCCTCTGACCTCCTTCATCAGGTGACACATTTATGTTTTCTCCCGTCGGTTTGTTTACGAGCAGGATTATGCAAAAACTACAGAACTGATTTCCACAAAACTTTGAAGGATTGGACAAAGGCCAAGAAAGACAGATTTCGGTGGATCAGGGGGCGGATCCAGGAATTTTGGTCACATTCTTTCACATTTTGAGATTATTATACATCACAGATTTCCCAGGGATTAATGCATGGATCTTGATAAAAAAAATAATTTGGCATATTTAGAGGACTGATTTTTATCAGTGTGTGACATTTGGTCTAGCTGGTTTTAATGTGGTTTCATTGGGGGTTAGGCTTCAATTTGGTTCCTCATTTTATCAACCTATAATTCTTCTGCAATAGAGATTACGATTCCATGATCTAAACTGTTCTGTTGGCTTAGCTATGAAGTTTGATTGACTTTAAAGGGAATGTTGGGCCTGGTGGAGGTATATGCTCTACTGAGTGGCATTCCAGTTCAAAGTGCGGCCGTGCAGAGACCATTCGTTGCTGACTTTACTTTCATCTTTCCTGCAGACCCTTGACGGTGTCCACAGAAGAGTATGGCACAATGTGGCTCGACTTCTCTCACGACACAAAACAGAATCTGACACTGATCGGTGATGGTGAAGAGCCTCTCACAGCCACTCTGAATGTACTGAAGAGGAAACTTCAGCTTGGTGTCGTGGAAGTCATAGGTGAAAATACATTTATCTCGGATCTTTCAATGATCTCATTTTTATAAGTTTTATATTGTGGAATTTGTAATAAACACATTGATAAATAGTTTAATACTGAAACAACAATCTAAAAATATAGACAGCATATATAAGGTCACACAAAAACATCAGGACGCAACAAGATGTGTTGTTATTTATGGATTATTGCTGGTTAATGGGTAAACTAATGCAACTTATAATTAGAGCATTTTCTAAATGTATATTTATTTACATACAGGTTTAAGTGTGTATGTACCAGTGGGTCTCTTTCTTTGTCTCCGTCTCTTGCAACCTGCACTATATGTATCTTGAGTATTTTATATAGTCAGTGAGTAACATTCTTCACTTTGCCCACAGGAATGGAAGGTATTTTAGCTTGTCAGCTCCTCCAGGATCAGCCGTGTCTGATGCATTGCCGCGTGCACGCCGGTGCGCTGGCGGTGTGGTTGCGCTCTCCGGTGCCTGACCTGCCCGACTGCCTGATCTACCACTGTCAGAGAGCTCTGCAGGTGGACTGAGCCTCAACTGCACCAATCCACTGAAACCACTGAGCAACCAGAACCTCAACCACTGAAGTGGGAGGTGCACAGACGTACACAGTGCAGAACTGAGAATGAAACTGATGTTAGCATCTTTACATCACAGTGTTAACCATTTATTTATCTCCTCCACTATGAGTTACTTTGAAAGATTTGGTTTTGACTGTCCTTGGATTGTTGAATTTTATTGGTAGAAGAGAATCACAACTATTGAAACATCATGACTTGGAATAACTTCAGGGCTAAAGGAGTTTGTGTAAACCTATGTGTTTCAGAATAATACTTAAGTCTTAAAATCCTGTTCAGATCTGGTATTAACATCTGATCTGAGGTCTGATCACCAGGGGTCCGCTCTAAGTCCAGGTCTGAACTCACCCAATGTGTCCTGAATGCGTCCTGAGATCCGATCCTTAAGACCTCATTAGGAGATGGTCTGGGACACATGTGGCCACATTCTTTTCTCTGTGTGAACGTAAATGTGTCCTGGGCCACATTAAACGACTGCCTACTCAGCTGACGTCTCTGACACACTGCAGTTTTATTTTACGGCAGATGTATTTTCACGCTTCTCATTCACCCTACGTTGATTTGTTCGTGACCACCGGCTCAATATCAACACTGATCACCACATAATGATCGATACTTTTCTTAAATTGGTCAAATCTCTCTTCACAACAGTCACACAAGAATTTTTCAGCACTTCCTCATTCCTCTCTCCTGCTCACTCATGCTGACACACTCACACATTCACACACACATTGTCATTGGACACATCTGTAAACTCAGACCAGACACGTTTTAATTCAAGGTTATGAGCAGACGAATCAGATCCCTCAGGATGGATGTTAATACCAGGTCTGAGCCGGGTCATAGAGGATGATGACAGGGCTCCAAAATGACTTGAAACCTTTAATGGTCAAAACATTGACTGTGAATGAAATGAATGCTTAGTATGAAACTTCTATTGTATCGCAAGGGAAAAATCATGAACTAATATCTGTGCCTTGGGTCCTTATGCTCGAGAGAGAGAGACACCATGACAGTGAGGCTCATTTGGATTTAAAGAAGACAGACATTAGTACTGTAACTGAAAACATTTCACTGCTGTCATTAACTTAACAAATTGTTCTTTCTTGTCAACACAAATTCAAGCAATACTGATTTAAAATGGAAATGTGGATTGAGAGAAACACAGTGAAAATACGTATATCCTCTAAGGGGTTAAATTCATTGTTCCGAATCTCTTGTAAGTACTTGGGCAATTTTTTTTACGATTATTTAAAATATTCTGCCAGCAAACTAATAATTTTATAGTTTGTTGTCAAGGAAAACCTGCTCCAGTACCTGAAGGTTCCTCACAGCAAATAGATGTTTACATTGTTGTTTGTCCATTAGTTACATTTGATTCGTACATCTTTGATGCATATTTTGTCTTAAAAGTAGCAGTGAGGCTCATGTTCTCCATTAATCACTGTGGTGATGTTTTGTAGATGCTGCCTTCTTAAAGGATCATCTACTCACTCATATTTCTGGTTTGTCAGTTTCGGCGAGAGGTGGATTTTAGTGTTTTTTTATTATTATATTTTTCTATCAAAGCAGTATTGAAAACATATTTATTGGATTTATATTCTTACAGAAGATATTTTATATTAATTTCACCCAAAATCAAATCTTGTGCTTCATATACTGTTTTGATTGCGCCGTGCCGGATTTGGCTTCCAGTTTGAAAACGTCTTTTATTTAATTTAATCTGAAGGGAAAGTTGACCTTTTTCTTTTTTTTTGCCTGTGTCCTGATCTGAGACAAAACGAGACGTCTAAATCTCAACTTCAACCCAACGCCTTATGTTCTAATGCCATGATGGTGTGTTTGATTTGTGCCTGTGGTACAGAAAGAAGAAATCCTTTTTTCTTAGTGCCTGTCACTATATTCTACTAACTTCTGAATAAATTAAACTCATGTAAATTTACTCGACTTTGAGTCCATGATTGTTTATCCAGTACAGACTTTAATATGCTGAACTTGAGGAAAAGAAGGATATTATTAAAAGTGCAAATATTTTCTTACATTCTTTTCTCTCATACATTAATATTTGCTACGAGAGAACAGGTATTTAACTTTAGTATTTATTTGATTATCGTAACTTAAAGCTTACACAAAATATAAAAACAACATTTTCACATGTTAAAAAATTATATTTTTAACTTTGTACCTCTGTTGATTATGTGTCTCTTTAGCACAACCTACTTTTCCATACAGATTCAGCTCAGTTAGATCAAAGTAGATTGTGTGACTCACAAATATAGTAATCTAAGAACATATAGAAATACATAGGACTGGTGTTTAGGAATGCATTGACAGCTCAGCAGGCCTAACTCCTTCACTATAGTCGTCATCCAAAGTGTGCAGCCTCACTTTGTTCAGATCTGACTGTGGGGCTTGGTCCGAGGGATGAAGTGCATGACCAGGTTGTGCTCGTCCTCCACCGGCTGCTGTGATAGGTTGTTGGTCTGCCTGATGCTGCTGAGGGTGCAGCCTTGACGAGGACACACTGTGTATCGAGACAACAGGGTGACAAGGATGGCCTTCATCATCACCATGGAGATGTGTTTTCCCACACAGGAGCGAGGCCCGCAGCCGAAGGGCTGAAAGAAACGACTGGGCACCTGCCAAACAGAGGAGGTAGAGACATACATTTTGTATTAGTTTGTTCTTTCAGAGCCACATATTGTTCAATTTTATTGAATTCAATTTTATTTGTATAGTGCTAAATCAAAATATACACTATCTATCTCAAGGCACTTTACATAGTAAAGTTCAAACCTTAAAACTTATAGAGAAACCCAGCAGTTCCCACAATGAGAAAACACTTTGGCGACTATGGAGAGAAAAAACTCCCTCATTAACTGGAAGAAACCTCTAGCAGAACCAGACAGTGTGGACGGCCATCCGCCTCGAGCAATTGGGGTGAGCAGACGAAAATGGGGAGGAGATGGAACAGTTGTGTATCATCATGTTTCAGCTCTGACAGACTAATTATTATAATGAAAACAATAAGAGTGATTATGATTATAGATGTAAAGAAGTTATTAATGATAGCAGCAACAGCTGATAATGTTGATAAGAGAGAGAGAGATGTGATACTTACAGTTTTGTCAAAGTTCAACAGACTGAACTCTTTGGGTTTTGGGAAGAATTCAGTCTTATGCATGAGACCCACGTTGAGAATGATGTTGGTTCCCTTCCTGATTTTAGTGCCTTCAATGACGTCATCCTCTAGAGCTTTTCTCATGGTGAAATCAACCACAGGATGAAACCTCAGAGACTCGTTGATGAAATTCTCCAGCACATTCAAGCTTTGACTGTGAAGGTTTTCAGCACCTTTTTCATCTGGAAGTGAAAAAGCAGCAGTGATGGATTTTGGATTAATTCAATATTTATCCGTCGCATGATGACATTTTTAAATGCTCTTACTGGAGACAGTGTTCATCTCCTCCACTATCCTCAGCTCCACCTCTGGGTTTTGTTTCAGCAGCATCAGCATGAAGAAGAGGCTGATGGAAAGTGTGTCGGGTCCTGCGATCACCATCTCTAACACACACTGCCTGACGTTATCTGCTGAGAGCTCACCGTGGTTCTGCAGCACAGAGAAAAGAAGGTGATCCGAACACAGCAAACACAAACTGTAACTCCAAGACACAGTTAGTGTAGAGAGGGAGAGAGCTACCTGTGCCAAGATGAGCTCCGTTGCAAAGTCAAGATCCTCATCCAACTTCTCAGTTTCATTAATAATCTGTCTTTTCATTTCAAGGAGGCTTTCCATCACATCCTGCAGCTCTTTACTGTTGACACAAAACAGTTTAAGTTGAAGACAAAAACAAATGTTGTGTTTTCACTGGTGAGTGTGAGAATCTTACGCCGCTCTCTTGTGCTTATTGTAGAGCCATCCAATCTGGAAGAATATATCAGGCTTTATTAGAACCGTCTGCCAGGTCTCAAAGTAGTTTTGGATTTTAATCAGCAACTCCTTCTCTGTTATTATGAATAAGAAAACAGTCAGGAGCAGGAAGTGGAAAATATTTACAGGCAGGAAATACTGTTCACAATTTGAGTGAAACATTTACAGACGTTGAGTGTGCAGCTGACCATTTAATGGCACCCTGAGGAAAATCCTGTTGGAGATGTCCACCACTATGGCTCTGAGCAGATTGAGAGCGTCCACATGGCCGGAGGAGTCAGTCATCTCCCGCAGGCCGTCCAGGTGTTTGGCAGTGGAGCTCACACAGATCGCCACTGTCCCCTGGAGGGTGGGGCCTGTCAGGGCTGTTAACAAAGATAACAAATAACTACAATTATAACTGATCCACTTTGAGTCTGCAGGAGCTGGATTTATTTTTATTCAATGTTAAATATAGGATGTATAGAATGAGAGATGACATAATAATGATAATAATAATAATTCCATGAAACTCCCACCTAGTAGGACATACATTCTGGAACTTGACAGCTTAAAAAAATGTAATTATCAAAAAAGATAATTGAAGTTAACTAAATCAAGTATGTTGTTCTGAATAAAATAGAATATTAAAAAAATTAAAACAAAGCGTGGTTGAATTATGATGGATGATATCAAAAAAATAAAATAAAATCTCATACAAATTCAGAATGATACGAAAACCTGTAATATTAGATTGATTAAATTAAATAGAAAGATACAATTTAAATTAAACCCTATAAAAAAGTAAAAATAAGAATATAATATAAAAAATATAATATAATAAGAATCAAGACAGGCAAACACTCAGTCTATATTAATCACTCACCTTTAGAGAAGTAGGTCCTCACTTTTTTCCAGAGTGAGACATCACTGTTGAAAATGATGCCCCTCCCTTCCATCCCGATGCACTGAAGCCCTTTCTTGCTCCCAAACCTGGCAGTGTAGTGGGGACTCCTCATAATGTGATACACTGCTGACGACCTGCGAGTGAAGCCAGACTGTGACGTGACCTCATTCCCAGATTCACTGAATAAACTGTGGCTGCAAAGGTGTTTCATATGAAAAGGACTCGCCTGCTTAGAATGAGGGTCTCCTCGCCTTTGATCCACACCCGCACAATGCTGCCATATTTGTTGTTGTAGTAGTTGCTCGCCGTTCCAATCCCGGTCCAGATGAACCTGGAGTAGGAGAGAATAGGGCCGAGTCCTGCAAGGAAAGAAGGACCTAGGAGAAAAAGGAAAGCAGTTGATTAAAACACAATAGTTTCCCATTAAGCATTAAGCATTTCTGAAAACAGGGCCAATGAGAAGGTTTTTCTTTTTGAGGATATTACACCATTCTCCATGGGCTACAGACGGAAGCTGAATTACTAAATATGTATCCAAAATCAATATAACATGAAATGTCTGTTTAAAATGTAATGGTTGTTTAATTTTAATATGTATAAGTTGGCTCCCTTTGATTCTAAATGTATTTTTGAATTATTTTTATTGATACTTCAACTCTTGTTTCTTTCTCTCTTTTCCTGTACGTGCTCTTTTTCACAATGGTGTCTTGTGCGTCTGTTTTAGGCTGACCACATAATGTGCATGACACAATAATGAGAAATCAATGAAAGCAGTCTCACCTGGTATGTGTGATGGGTTTCTGCTCCAGGCAGAAAAGAGCAGCAGCAGGAGAAGAAGAAGAAGCAGAAAAACGGTGACCCCGTGAACCGTGTCCACCACCATGGGGCCGATGGTGAAGGTGTCCAGCGGCAGCATCCCTGTCACAACTCCACACACACACACACACACACACACACACACCGAACGGGCTCAGAGTGTCGTCAGTCTGCCTGCAGATAGAGTTTGACCGATGCTCATACAGCTTCTGGCTTCTGTCTCCTTCAACAAGCAGAGCTCACAGAACAAGCAGCTGAATCTGTGGATGTCCTTCTTTTTCATCCCTTGTTTTACTTCTGTCCCACAGTTACCACATCAACAAAGCCCTGGTTACACACTAAAACCACAATACGCCCACATGAAGCACACGAAGGACACAGTGGTTTGTATCAGGTTTTTAGATTCTAAATATAACATCATTAAAATGATGTTACACAATGATCTAACATCCTTTA